TTCCCAGCACAGATCCATGAAGTGACCTGCACGAGACCTTGCCGTGGGCTCTAGGCCTCCAGATGGACTTTAGGAGGCATTGTTGTGAGCTCTAGGTCTTCAACTGGGCTATGCAGTGCATTTTTGTGGGATCCAGGCCCTGATTTGGTATGGAGGCAGATTTCCTCAATTCTTTGTATGTGATTCTTTGGGTGATTCATTATAAAATAATCTTATAAAATGTGTTCTGTACTGTACTATTCCCCTTGCAAAAACTCCAAAACAGGACAGAATCTGTTTATGATCCTGATTTCTGTTCTTTAGGATAAATTACTCCTAACTGGAAATTCTGAGTCATACTGTAGTTTTATCTTTAATTTTTTAAGGATTGTCTATACTGTTTCTTATAACAATTAAACTAACTTTTCATTCCCCAAAACAATGTACTAGGGTTTTCTTTCCTCTACATTCTTGCCAATACTTGTTTTCTTTTGACTAAATGATAGCATTACCAACAAATGTGAGATATGTCTCATGGTTTTAGTATGTATTTACTTGATGCTTAATCATGCTGTTCATTTGTATGCCTTCTTTTGAAAAATGTCTGTATAAGTACTTTGTTCTCTTTTTACTCAAGTTATTTTATTTCTTTTGAGTTGTAAGAATTTCTTATCAAACAGATTTCCAAATACATTTGCTCTTTTTTTTTAACCTTTGGATGTTGTTTCTCTATTTTTGTGAAGTTGTTTTCACCTTGATGTACTCTTTATTTATTTATGCTTCTGTCAGCTGTGCTTTTCGTATCCTACACAAATAACCATTGCTGAGGCTAGGGTGTTAGCTCGGCAGTCTAAGTGCCTGGCTGGCAAGCACAGGACCCGGGTTCAATCCTGGTAACACATGCTGTGCCGGCCCTGCCAGCCCATAACTGAGAGTTGTGGCACACGCCTGTAATCCCAGTGCTGGGGAGGCTGAGATAGGAGGATCACTACATACCTCAACTGCATAGCAAGATCCTGTACCAAATAAATAAACAAACAAAAAACAAATAGGCATTGCTAAGACTAATGTCAAGGAACTTCTAATCTATTTTTAGGGATTTTTACCTTCAGATCTTACATTTATGTCTTTAATCTAGTTTCAGTCCATTTTTATTTGATAGGATATTCCATTATCATTCTTTTGCATGTGGCTATCCAATTGCCCCAATGCTGTCTACTGAAGAGTGTAGCTTTTACTCATTGTATATATTCGTGCATTCTAGTAAAATATCAATGAATTAGAGGTGAGTCGTAGAATTTTTCTATTGTTCTTATCAATAGACTATATGACATAATTTCAGTTTGAAAGACAATGGTTTACTTTGTTTACCAAAGAACAGTACTGTTATAAATTTACAATTTGTCAACTTCAAAATTGATTATTTAATAAAATGTAATGAATTCATAATCTATGCCTTTTTAATGGTTTTTATTGATGTAGAGTTTAATTAACTGTTTCTTAATTCACTTGACAGTTTCTAGAATATGATAAAGCTATTTCGACATGGATTAAAAACTTTAATTTGACAGTAATTTTATATTTATGGCATTGATGTAAAATCTTTATCACATTATATGTAAAAGTTTTTGAAATGTTAACTATTCTTACATATTTGAGATAAACTGTCTTATGAATGTACAAATTTGTTATTGGATTTGATTTCATATTTTGCATTTTTGAATTTATTTCTGTATGGAAGATTTTATCTTAAATTGACTTTAACTTTTCTTTGGCTTGTAATCATTAACAATCTTTGTTATTTGTCCATTTTCACCTTTACTCAACTGACAGTTTATATGAAATTGGAATTATTTCCTCCTAGTAAACACTTCATCTATAAAATAAATAAAACAGAACACAGATCAAATATTTTGATCTTAGTTTCATCACTGAATTTATCTGCTGCCTAAGACTTGTTGTATCTCATGATCCATAACATGTCAGAATCAAAACAAATAAGCAAAAAAAATTAGAACATGTTCAAAGTAAATATTATATTTTAAAAATAACATACACTCCATTGAGAATGAGTTGTAAAAATAATGGATAATGAAGCAATTAGTGAGAACAAATGGCTGAAATGAGTCTGATGAAACAATCAGCACTGATCTTTATTCAGCATTTGACACAGCAGAGTTGTGTTTCTACAATTTCTAAGCTATACCCTATTTAAGGTAAGTATGTCTTTTGCCTCTACATTGTTTAGCACTTTGACACCCAGAAATAACAACCTAGCTATATATTAAGTGTGTCCAATTCTTTAATATACATTATCTTTACTTCTCTCTATAATACCTATGTGGTAGCATAATTTACCCATTTTCAGATTTAAACAAATTGAGGCTCACAAAGATAATGTGATTTAGCTGAGATTTTACAGTGGCTAAGAAACTAAGATAAGGGGCTGGGAAGATGGCTCAGTAGAATAAGTGCTTCCCTGGCATAGCGCAAGGCCCTGAGTTCAATCCCTGGTTCCACCAAAAAAAAAGAAAGAAAGAAAATAAAAGAAAAGAAACCAAGATAAATTCTGAACATAGTTCTGATTCACTGTTTCTATCATTCCCACTCACCCTGTGCATTTATTGTATGTTAGTCAGCTTTATGACTCTATAACAAATATTTAAGATAACCAATGGATAAAGAGAAAAGATCTGTTTTCATTTGTAGTTTTACAGGCTCCAGTCTATGATGGGGCAGACCTGTGCTTTTATGCCTTTGGTGGGAATGTGAGAAAGCAAGGTGAATAGCAGGTTGCAAAGCAAAACTCCTCAGCTTGTAGCCAGGGAGCAAGAAGAGAAAGAGACTGGGGCACTACTATCCTATTCAAAGAATGACCTAAGTCCCCTCCCCGTGAGGCCAAAGGTGGCAAACCTATGGTATATGTGCTGCAGCAGGCTGTTTGTTATCATTGCAAGCTCTAAAAAGTTCACTTCAGCCTACATCCTACCTCTGAAAAACTCTACCACTTTACACTAGCACCAGGAAGAGCCTCAAGGCTTTGGGAGATATTCCAGAACTACACTATAACAAATAGCATTAAATATGCATTTGCTAAATTGACGTTTTCTGATTTCTTCAGAATAAGGATTTTATTCTGATCGTAGAAATCCTTTCATTGAAATGCACACAATTATTATATATAGCATGCAAAAAAAAAGAAAGAAAATGTCTATTTTAAGAACTTATGTTCTCATTTGAAAGGTACACTGAATAATTTAAGACAGTTACCTAAATCTATTTCAGGATTGTGTTCTTATAAGGAAAAGACAGAGTATTTGTAGGGAGATAAGATATTAGACTTGTTAAAAATGGAACCAGTTCAATTTAACAAAGTTTACTTGAGCAAGAGAAAGGTGAAGGCAGCATTCCAAAGGAAAGTTGGTTCAGAAAGTTCCAACCCACCACATATGTAGATTAATTTTATAGTCAGAGGAAAGTCCCAATACCAAAACAACCTGATTGGCTGCAGTTGTCATTTGCTTTATTTCTATGGTCATGTTATTGACAGTTTAAGCTTCAGATTAGCTAGAAGTTCAGTTGTTATAACTGAGTTATCTGGTTTCGAGTGTGTATTTTAGGTTATAGTTTGTTTATAAATCAAGCTAGGATACAATTCACTATACAGGCCACTTTAGACCAAATTTATGCTTCCAGTATGGAGTTTGGTTTAGATCAAATTTATTTTGGTTCAACAAACTAGAAGGGAGTTCCACGGTTTCACAATATTTCTTAAGTCTATAGTTTTCAGGTGATGTTGTTTGATCTTCTGTACCTCATGGGTTTTTTCTTTGACTGATTATCCCCCTTTAACTAAAATGTATATGAAAATGAAAATATGGGGGCCGGGGAGATGGCTCAGTGGAACAAGCACTTCCCTGGCAAACACAAGGACCTGAGTTCAATCCCCGGTTCCGGAAAAAAAAAAAAAAAAAAAGGAAAATGAAAATATGACTTATTGCAGCCAACTCACACATCAGTGGTTTTTAAGCTCAACACCGGTTTCCTCTTTTCATTTTATTGTATAATTCTTTGGATCCAAAAATAATAGTTTTTTAAATCACAATTTTAGTTTCTGACTTAATAGCAAGTAAAAATAGGGCTGTGTTTTGCAATATAATTTTGATGCTTCTGATGTCTGGAATTTGTTAAAAAGAACATGAATTGGTGAGAAACTTTAAAATATCAAAATATTAATTATTAAAAGATTTCAAGTCGGAGTGATGGCGCACCTGTAATCCCAGCGCTTGGGAAGCTGAAAACAGGAGGATCACTATGAGTCGGATCTGTGTAGTGAGACCCTGTAGACCCTGTAGTAAATACACACACAAAAAAAAAATAAAAATAAAAAGATTTCAGAACATAAAATTTGAAATTAAGGCAGTTTCTAGAAAATTGGCTCTTCATAATAAACCAAAATTGACTTTTGCCTCTGGAGGCCATTTGCATAAAATTAAAGTGAAGAATATAGCAAGTTTAACCTTGTAGGCAACGTTTCCTTCACTTCAATTCCATGGCACTTCACTCTCTTGGTTTTCTCATTCTCCTTTGCTGCGTTCTCCTTCTCTCTGGATTTTCTTGCTTCACTCTCTTCTGCTGGGTTCTCCTTTTCTCTTCATATATACTATTCCATGGTTGAATCCTTGGGAATCGTTTCTTGTCCATTTCTGCACCTCCACTAATGCCCAAGTGCTGAGATTACAGCCACGTGCCATCACGCTCCACGTATATACTTCTAAAAAGTGTAAATAAAAGTGTACATAGAGCAAGGACTGGTCTGTCCCATAATTTCAGGGTTTTAGACACAGCTGACAAATAACGAAGGAACCCACGAGCTCACTCATTCGGCTGCCTAGACTGGCCTCACGAGCTCATTTATTCAGGCTGCCTAGACTTTCCTCACGCCTTGAAAGTCTCAGGTTTTCTTTAGGAGCTTCGTGACCCCGGAAGTAAAAACTAAGCGGTGTCACAAAAAAAGAAGTCATTTCCGGTTCCGTACGGACGCACCGGAGCGAGCAACATGGCGAAGGCCGGCGAAAAGAGTGGCGGCAGCGGTAAGAAAGGCTTGAAAAGGAAAGCCGCTGTAGCAGACCCTCAAGAGGCTGCAGTCGCCGGGGATGGCGCGACGGAAGGCGGGGTCCAGCCCCCGAAAGCGACTGCCTTCCCCCCAGGCTTCAGCATTTCGGAAATTAAGAACAAGCAGCGGCGACACTTAATGTTCACGCGGTGGAAACAGCAGCAGCGAAAGGTACGGGGTGGAGGGAGGCCCGAGGGGCGCATGCGCGCGTCTTGGGCGCCGGGGAGCAGTAGGCCATGTACCAGCTTGGGGTCATTGCCCGCGATCCCCGCCGGTGCCAAGCGCTCTCGCGAGTTCAGCAGGAAGAGTGATCCCCTGGCTCATGGCTCCTGGTTCTCTCCATCGCCTCGGATTCTAGTTTGCGCCAGAGCGTGAAGGTGGAGGGTTCCCTGCCTGGAAATTCAGAAATATTGCCCTCTGAATGAAAATTATCCTCTAGAAGGCAAAAGCCTTCAGCCCCTGTCTTCCCAACCCTACCCCATCTCTGGTGAACCTAGAGAATGTGTGGTACAGGCAGTACGCGCCAAATTGAGAACGCTGTCATGTTCTGCAGTAACTCTTACTGAAGTCAGTATTGTAAGTTTTTAGTTAGTGGGCATAGTCATACTGTCCAGGGAGACAGACATAACATGTGGAGAGGCTTGAAACGACTTGCCTCAGGTCGTGATGCTCCTTTGGAGTTAAATCGCTAATGGAAGAAAGCATTTAACTGTTTCTTATTTCTGCCTGTCACAGAAGTTCACCTTTTGCTTGCCTCTTACTAGAATTTTTGGGACCCTGGACTGATTCTTGAGTGCCAAAGGCACAGAAGTGCATAACAGGGCCATGTCCATCTGCTGTGCAAGAATGAGAGATGGCCTGGAATACTTCTTGGCGCTGTAGTTTCAAATCAGAGACCTGTTGTTGGTTGAGGGTCAGCAGGCATTGGAAAAAAGTATTTTCTGTGTGTATCAAGCATTCTGTCTAGAAATCAGAAGATAGATTTATGATAAATAATCTTAACCTTGTGAGTTGTCACGAATTTTAAAAGCATATTTTGATTATAAAATACGAGGATCAGAAAAACAAAGGAAACAACTATTCTAACTTATCATTAGGTTATAACTAAGAAAACCAAAACTTGTTTACTTCTTTAGTTGTTTACTTTTGTAGTTTGAATAATTGTAATTTGAAATTTAATAGCAGAAGTTAAAACTAATGAAATTCTTTATCATTATTATTATTATTTTTTTAATGTATTTGGTACAGGGTCTCACTACACAGCTCAGACTTGTAGTGATCTGCTTGTTTTCAGATTCTGCAGTGCTTAGATTACAGGTGTGCAGTGACTCCGTGGCCAGCTCAGCGTGTAGTGCTGGGGATTGAATCTTGGTCCCTGCGCTTGCCTAAGCAGGCTCTTAGTCCACTGAGCTATCTCACTGGCCTGCTGATGGAATTCTGAGTGCTTGCCTTGCTCAGTTAGACTTAACAGAAGTGAAAGTCTTTGCTAAATAAGTCTTATTGAGTAGCACATTTGACTTATAGTAACTAAGTTATAAAAAAAAAAAAAAATGTTTGGATGTTTAGCTTAGTATGCTATTTCCCAGTCAGAATATTTATTTGTTGTCTGTGGGCGGGGGAGATGGCTCAGTGGAATAAGTACTTCCCTGGCAAGCACGAGGGCCTGAGTTCAATCCCCCGTTCAAAAAAAAATCAATTATTTGGAGCCAGGGAGATAGCTCAGTAGAATAGGCACTTGCCTGGCAAGTGCAAGGTCCTGAGTTCAATCCCTGGTACCGCAAAAAAAAAAAAAAAAAAACCTTACAGTGTTGTTTGTGATATCAGTGTGCTTGTGACATGAGTGGTTTCTCATACTCTTTTGTTTTTAACCCTTTAGGAAAAGTTGATTGCTAAGAAAAAACTTAAAAAAGAGAGAGAAGCTCTTGGTGATAAGGTAAATAAAAATATTACCCACCTACTTTCTTGTATTAAGTAGTGTTTCCTGATGTTAAAGCGATTACTTTTCCAATTTATGAAAATTCAGAATTTATGAAATATTTCAGATATATAAGGTATAAAGCAAAAATCTCTATTCTTTTTACCATGCTTAGCATAAAATGTTGAAATCCCCTTCTCTGCTCCTTCTGCTGGTGCCCCCCTCCAAAGACAGCACTCATGAAATTGTTTTATTTCTTCATATGCTTCTTTATACCATTACTATGCATGTTGGCCTACCTAAACAATAAGCATGGTGATGGTCTTTTATGTTACTTTGTGTGCTTGAGAAGCAGAGAAACCTCTCTTAACTGTTGGGGGGGCGACTATCCAAGTTAGAGTCTGAGACTAGGGGTTGTGGTTGAAGTAAGGCTTTTGTTAGGCAAGGTTGCTGAAAGGCAGGACAGCCTCTTCTGTGTGGAGTGGACTGTGGAGCAGACTCACATGAGGAGGAGCCAGTGCAGAGGATTTGAATCTGTGAAAAGGTGATGTAGGGTGTGACCAGGATGGATTATGGCAAGGAAAGAAGAGACAATATATCAAGGAAGTATTCAGCTAGTTTTGTGCTCATAAGAAGCAAAATCTTTGTATTTAAAAATTTTAAAACTACCAAGTAGTCCTACATTGTTGCCTAGCTAAGTTACTTTTTTTTTTTTTATTTTTAAA